CTCTCTCTCTCTCTCTCTCTCTCTCAAAAGTAAATAAACATTAAAAACAATTTTTTAAAAGAAGTGAGAGGGAAGAGGACTGAGTCCTAGGATTTTGAAATTACTATGAAAGAGGTCTTTCATTCTCAGTGAGGTCACCATGACCCTCTTCCCAAAAATGCTGGTGGGGTTGATTGCTGGTTGAGACAAAATATGTTAATTATTTTAGAACTCAATAACCTTTGAGGATGTGGCCATGGACTTCACCGAGGAGGAATGGGTGTTGTTGAATCCACGTCAGAGAAAACTGTACAGAGATGTGATGCTGGAGAACTACAGAAACTTGGCATCGCTGGGTAAGGCTGACACAATTCCTTCCTTTATTTATTGAGTTTGAGCATGGATTTCTGTCATACGTAAGTCCCAGTTACCTTGTGGTATAGGCTATAGGTTTCTTGTAGGTTTTGTTTTGTTTAAAGTTGGCTTTTTATTTTTTTTTTCAAATGCTTATTTATTTTTCAGTGAGGGAGAAACAGAGAGTGGAGAGCAGAGAGAGAGGGAGACACAGAATCAAAAGCGGGCTCTAGGCTCCGAGCTTTCAGCTCAGAGCCCGATGTGGGGCTTGAACTCACAGGCCATGAGATCATGACATGAGCCAAAGTCGGATGCCCAACTGAGTCAGCCACCCAGGCACCCTTCTTGTAGGTTTTTGTAGATTTTTACATTTAAGAAAAATAGCTTGTATTAAGATATCATTTACCTACCCTAGCTTAGCCATTTAGAGAATACAAAGCAATGTGTTGGCGTATGTGTGTCTGTTTTGTGTTTTTAGCACATGCAGAGTTATACCACCATCACTGCTGTCTAATCCCAGAACATTTCCATTGCCTTGTCTACAGGGCATTTCATTCCTCCTCAGTTTCCAGATCCTTGCAATAACTTAGAGATTTGTCTATTCTGAATATTTCATATTAATGGAGTCATACCACATGTGGTCTTTTGTGATGTGCTTCTTTCCCATAGCATCATATCTAAGTTCATCCGTGTTATAGCATATATCGCTACCTCTTACTTATTGCTGAATAATATTCTGTTGTGTAAACATAACACATTTTGTTTGTCCATTCACCAGTTGATGGACATTTAGATTTTTGGCACTTGCTACTATGAATAGTGCTGCTACAAACATTCATGTAATACAAGTTTTTCTGTGGACATATGTTTTCATTTGTCTTGGGTATGTGCCTGGGAGTGGAATTGCTGGGTCATTTGGTAACTCTGCTTAACATTTTGAAGAACTGCCAGTTTTCCAAGTTGGCTGTATTATTTTACATTCTCTCCAGCAATGTGTAAATGTTCCAAAACCTCTACATTCTTGCCAACACTTATTTCTGCCTGTCTTTTTGTTTATAGGTATCTTAATGTTTTTAGAATGGTATCTCATTGTGCTTTTGGTTTGCATTTACTTAATGACTGATGATATATTAGGCAACTTTTCATGTGCTTATTGGGCATTTATATATCTTTTTTGGAGAAATATCCTTTTAAATCCTTTGCCCATTTAAGAATTAGATTGCCATTTTTTTTTCTGTTGAGTTGTGAATGTTCTTTATGTATTCAGGATACTGATCCCTTATCAGATATATAATTTTGCGAACATTTTCTTACATTCTGTGTGTTGCCTTTTCACTTTTTTCATGGTATCATTTGTGGCATAAAGGTTTAATTTTAATAAAGTCCAACTTATTTTCTGGACTCTCAATTCTATTCCAATGGTTTATATATTTTTTAAAAGTTGGTTTATTTATTTTGAGAGAGAGAGCACAAATGGGGAAGGGGCAGAGGGAGAGAAAGGGAGAGAGAGAATCCCAAGCAGGCCGCCTGCACCACCAGTGCAGAGCCTGATGTGGGACTCGAACTCATGAATTGTGAGATCATGACCTGAGCTGAAGTTGGATTCTTAACCAACTAAACTACCCAGGTGCCACTCCAATGGTTTATATTTCTATCTTATGCCAGTTCCATGCTGTTGGTTGCTGTCATAGCTTTGAAGTAAGATTTGAATTGGGAAATGTATGTTCTCCAACTTTGTCTTTGTTAAGATTGTTTTGACTACTCTGGATCCCTTGCATTTTCATATGAATTTTAGAGTAAGCTTGTCAATTTCCACAGAGAATCCAGGTGGGATTCCAATGTGGGAAGCCACATTGAATCTGTAGATCAATCTGGAGAGTTGCTAATTTATTTAGCATTATTAATTATTCCAGTCCATGACCATGGGATGTTCTCTCATTCATAGAGGTCTTTATAAATTTTAATTAATTAATTATATTTAAAACTGAAGTATAATTAACATATATTATATTAGTCTCGGGTGCACAATAGAATGATTCCACAGTTTCATACATACAGTGCTCATTAAGATAAGTGCACATATGCTTAATCTCCTTTACTATTTCACTCATCCACCCATCTCCCCTCTGGTAACCATCTGTTCTCTGTAGTTAAGAATTTGTTTTGGTTTTGGTTTGTCTTTTTCTGTTTTGTTTCTTAAATTCTACACATGGGTGAAATCATATGGTATTTGTGTTCCTCTGGCTTACTTCACTTAGCATTATACTATCTAGATCTACCCATGTTGTTGCAAGTGGCAAGATTTCATGCTTTTTTTATGGTTAATATTCCATTGTATATATATACCACATCTTACTTATTATCCATTTATTTAGTCAACGGACACATGGGTTGCTTCCGTATTTTTGCTATTGTAAATAAGGCTGCAAAAAACATAGAGGTGCAGATATCTTCTTGAGTTAGTGTTTTCATTTTCTTTGAGTAAATACCTAGTAGTGGAATTATTGGATCATAAGGTAATTCTATTTTTAATGTTTTGAGGAAACTCCATACTGTTTTCCACAGTGGCTGCACCAGTTTACATTCCCACCAACAGTGCAACCCTCTTTTTCCTCACATTCTGACAGATGTGAGGTGATAGCTCATTGTGGTTCTGAATTGCATTTTCTTGATGATTAGTGAAGTTAAGCATCTTTTCATGTGCCTGTTGGCCATCTGTGTGTCTTTGGGGAAAAAATATCTATTGGAATGTTTGTTTGTTTGTTTGTTTGTTTGTTTAAGTAGGCTCCTTGCCCAATGTGGTCAAGAGTCACATGCTCTACCAACTGAGCCAGCCAGGCACTACTGTAGTGTCTATCTGGTTTTGGAATCGAATGAATTTGGAATTTTGAATTTGGAAAATTTCCTTCCTCTTCAATTTTTTTTTTAATAGTTTCAGAAGAATAGATAGTCACTCTTTAAATGTTTGGTAGTGCTTTAAGTGTTTGCTGAGCTATCAGCACAGAGCCCGATGCAGGGCTTGAACCCGTGAATCGTGAGATCATGACCTGAGCCAAAGTCAGATGCTCAACCGACTGAGCCACCCAGGCACCACCCCTCTAGTGTACTTTTAATTTAAATTATTGGGTTCTTGGGGCGCCTGGGTGGCGCAGTCGGTTAAGCGTCCGACTTCAGCCAGGTCACGATCTCGCGGTCCGTGAGTTCGAGCCCCGCGTCAGGCTCTGGGCTGATGGCTCGGAGCCTGGAGCCTGTTTCCGATTCTGTGTCTCCCTCTCTCTCTGCCCCTCCCCCGTTCATGCTCTGTCTCTCTGTGTCCCAAAAATAAATAAAAACGTTGGGAAAAAAATAAATTATTGGGTTCTTCATCTCTGATTGGTCATTTTTATATTTTCTACCCATAGAGATCTGTAGGTTCTGTTAACAATGTATTGTAATTCTCAATGCCTAAGTCTTCTGTGAAATTTATCCTTAAACATTTTCTTTCTGATGCTATTATCAATGGAATTGTTTTCTTAATTTCATTTCCATGATATTCATTGCTGGTATATAGAAATAAAATTGATACATTGTATATGATTTTTTATCTTGTAACCTAATAGTTTTGTGTGTTTGTGTGTGTGTGTGTGTGTATTCTGAAGTCACACTTACCTATCTTCAGAACCTCAAAGATGAAGTTGTTACCACAGTTTTGTGGTGGTTTTTGTTGTTACCACAGTTTTGTGGTGGTTTTTGTTGTATACCGCATGGGTCTCTCATGTGCATTGTTCCCCATTATAGAAAAGCAGCTCAGCAGACCTGCTCTGATCACCCAGATGCAGCAGGAAGATGAAATGAAATCAGAGACAAGAAATCACCAAGATACTTGTTCAAGTGAGCAGTGGACATATATGAATGTTTTGTACCAGATCTGGTGGGGCTGAGAGGGAGGTATGTTATGAAAAGTCAAACAGGAAACTTAAACCAAATGCCCTTTAAATTTGAGGAGAAAGCAGAGACCGTTTGGTGTGGGCTTATTTGTGTAACTTCAGCATTCTCTAGTATTTGGCTTTTAACCTGTCATACTTTCTTATGTTCTGAAAGAAAGACCTGTCTTGCCTTTTAATATTTACATTTAGAATCACTGTCTAATTCTTCCCATTTTGCATATATAGCCTTGGTCTTTGCCTGTTACCATAATTTTCAATCATGGTAGAACGTTCCTCAGTAAATTATATAAAACACTAAGGCATGTAATATCATTCCTTTGATCAAGAATGTATTTTTCTTGGCACATTGTCTTCCTAAGGTTAGGGTATATTTGAAGAGAAGTCCACACAGGTCTTAGTTGTGTCCTAAACATCTCATCATTTAAATTTCTTTTAATGTTTTATTTTATTTTTGAGACAGAGAGAGACAGAGCATGAATGGGGGAGGGTCAGAGAGAGAGGGAGACACAGAATCGGAAACAGGCTCCAGGCTCTGAGCTGTCAGCACAGAGCCTGATGTGGGGCTCCAACTCACAGACCGCGAGATCATGACCTGAGCTGAAGTTGGAAGCTCAGCTGACTGAGCCACCCAGGCGCCCCCATCCCATCATTTTATATTCTAGGTTGTTTCTTACTTGTCTCAGATTGGACTTGGGGTTTACCTGCTTTTGCCAACATATTGTCACCACTTCTTCTTTCCCAAAACTTACTTTCCCCCCAATTTGTTCAGATGGGATAGTTCTCCCTAAAACCACACAATCACAACATAAACAAGATGTTTTGGAGAAAGAAGCACTACATGGCAAGAAGGTAAGAGTCATATGAGAATTTCTTGCTCTCTATTAGAAGTCCAGAATTCCATGTAATGGAAAAGGAACTCATGAACTAAGGGGTAATTTGAGGTTCTTATTTTAACAATAGAAAATGGAAAATTCTATAAATCATGAGTTGGAAGGGAACTCACATCCTAGCTCTAAAAATGGTTTCAGAGAATCCCCAAAGTAAATACATTCATAATGGAAGTTAGACATTAAATATTTAAGACCTAATTCACTCCAAAGCAATTATATGTTAAACACTAAAGAGACCCTGTTGGGAGCCATCTGGTGTAACATTCCTCTTATTCATGCTGATAAACTCAGACAGGAGCTGTGTATATTCTCTAAGAAAATACTAAGTAAACTCTTATTCTAAGTGTATGTCAGAATTTATGTTGGGGGGCATTCTCAAATCAATACGATTGATGTGATAAATCTTGTGATCATAACTCATTTTAACCAATAGGAACAAACTCATGGAGGCAGACCCATTGAATGGAATAAAATTGCCTTGTGCATGAAATCTAGCATTGCTCAGAAATGGAGACTTCATCCCAGAGAGAAACCCCATCAATGCCTTCACCCTGGGAAACCCTTCAGAGATTGTTCTCACCTTAACCCACATGACAGTGTTCATTCTGGGGAGAAATTCTATGGATGTAAAAAAGATAAAAATACCTTTATCAGGAGTTCTTTCTTAGGTGCACATGAGAGAGAACATACAAGAGAGAAATCCTATGAATTCAGTGACTCTGGCAAAGTCTTGAATTCAACCTTCTACCTTAAGAAGCATGAAAAAACTCACATTAGAGACAACTCTGTTCAAGGTAGGCAGTGTAGTAAAGTATTACAGAGCCGCTCATCTATTACATTGCACATGAGAACCCACAGTGGAGAAAAACCTTTTAAATGTAACCAGTGTGGGAAAGCCTACAGTTCAAGCTCTTATCTTAATCGGCACAAGAGAATTCACTCTGGGGAGAAGCCCTATGGATGCCGTGACTGTAGAAAAACCTTCAGAGATAGTTCACTTCTTAGACAACATGAAGAGATTCATTCCAAGGACAAACCCTACAAGTGTGATCAGTGCAACAAAACATTCAGTAGAAAGTCTAGGCTTAACACACACAAGATATTACATACTGGAGAGAAGCCCTATGCCTGCAATGACTGTGGGAAAACCTTCAGTATTCTCCCTTACCTTAAAAGACATAAGAGAATCCATACTGGAGAGAAATCCATTGAGTGTAACCTCTGTGGAAAAGCACTAAGTAGTGAGTCATACCTGAAGACCCACCTGAGGATACATACTGGAGAGAGACCTTACAAGTGTGGTCAGTGTGGGAAAACTTTTAGAATGAGCTGTAATCTCATAGTGCACAAGAAGATGCATGCTGGAGAGAAACCGTGTATATGCAAGGACTGTGGGAAATCCTTCAGGGACCACTCGTGCCTGAAAGAACACATGAGAATTCACACTGGAGAGAAACCCTTTGCATGCCATCAGTGTGGGAAAACCTTCAGAGTGAATTATTTCCTCATTTTGCACAAGAAAATTCACATGAGGACAAAACAATATGAGTGTAAGGAATGTGGGAAAGCCTTCAGTGGTGTCTTATCTCATAGGAGGCATATGAAAAAGCACACCAGGGAGAAGAAACCCTTCAACTGTAGTGAGTGTGGAAAAGCTTTTAGGAGGAATGCATCCCTTACAATACACATGAGAACCCACACTGGGGAGAAACCCTACAAGTGTGATCAGTGTGGGAAAACCTTCAATGTAAGGGGTAATCTTACCGTGCACAAGAGAGTGCATACTGGCGAAAAACCCTATCAGTGCAATGTCTGTGGTCGTGCTTTCAGTAAGCTCATATCCCTTCGGAGGCATCATGAGAGCACTCATGCTGGACAAAACTCCTAGCAATGTCCCTTTGGAATAGTTCTTGAACTCTCGATCTTTATGGCATACAAGCAAATGCAGAGAAAAACTGGATGTAAAGAATGGGACAAAGCCTCTGAATAATCTGTGGGAGAAATCTATGTAATGATTGTGATCAATCCTTTATTCATCCCATAGATAGGTGACCCCTTGACAACTGAAAGGAAAAAATTTTAGTATCTCCAAGGCTTGTTACTTGAGAAAAATAAATGCCTAATGTTTTAAGCCACCATGTTTACAGTGTCTGTTAATGTGTGTCTTGGGAGGAAGGTTGTTTTATTTACAAATGACTGCTGTCACTAACCAATATAACCCACGTCAGGTTTAAAAAACTTTTTATATATATAATTTAAAAGTTGAATTATTATAGGGTTAATAATAGGGATATAGGTGTGTTTATTATTATCTTTATCTATTTGATAAAGACTTTAAGTTGCATTTGTAGTTCATCCAGATCATGTCTCTTAACCTACCATTTCCTGACACAAGGTCTGAAATGAATCTTCCCACCAAAATTGTGAATGGTTGAATCTTTGAAATTCTATACTTTTCACTGCACACTGTTTCTACTTAAGATAAGTGTTAAAAAAATTTACAACCCAATGAATATCTGACAAGGTAGAGTACATCTCTATTAACTACTACACACGCTGGGCAAGAATTAGAACATTATCAGCACTAGAATCCTCCTTCACTGCTTCCTTCCACTCACTAATCACTCTAATTCCTGCCACCAGAATATATGTACTCTATGGAATCATGCATTTTTTAAAAAAGATTTTATTTTATTAAAAAAATTTTCTTTCACATTTATTTTTGAGAGACAGAGCGAGACAGGGCTTGAGCAGGGGAGGGGCAGAGAGAGAGGGAGACACAGAATCCGAAGCAGGCTCCAGGCTCCGAGCTGTCAGCCCAGAGCCCGACATGGGGCTCCAACTCACGAACCACGAGATCATGACCTGAGCTGAAGTTGGACGCTTAACCAACTGAGCCGCCCAGGTGCCCCTGGAATCATGCATTTTAAGAGCTTCATTGAGATATACTTTACATGTTGTAAATTTCACCTATTTGAAGTATAAAATTCAGTGGTTTTTAGTATGTTTATGGAGTTATTTGCACTATTTGTACCCGATACGTTATCATTTGTGCCTGGCTTCTGCTCAATGTTGTCTTTATGAGATGCATCTATATTCTTCATTTAGCAGAATTTTATTCTCATCGATACATAGCTTTTCCATTGTACGAATACACACAATTTATTCATTCAACTGTTCTGGATGTTTGGGTTGTTTATAGCTGGGATATTTTACCTGCTATGAACATTCTTGCACATGTTTTAGTTCACAGTTGTACCTGTTTTTGTTGGGCTAATATTTTAGGAGTGCAGTTTGTGGGTCATAGGGAATACACACAATCACATTTATTCAATACTACCAGACAGTTTTACAAAGTAGTTGTGACAATATATATGTCTGTAATCTTGCTATTATTTTATATTGTCTTTTTCATTTTGGTTATTTTGATGTGTATGCCATAGATAGGACCGATTTTGATTTTTAACTTTTAAAAATTTTGAACTAGTTTTGCACTTCCTAGAAAAGTTGAAAAGACTGTACAGAGTTCCTGTATATTCCTTTTTCCTAATGTTAATGCAATTAATTTTTAGTTTTTTTGGGGGGGTGGTTTGTTTTGTTTTAGAGAGTGAGCGCAAGCAGGGGAGAGGGGCAGAGAAAGAGAATCTTGAGCACTGTCCACGCTCAGCAGCAGAGCCCGATGTAGGAATAGATTCCACTACCATGGGATCATGATCTAAGCTGAAATCAAGAGTCACGTGCCCAACCAACTGAGCCACCCAGGTGCCCTATGATTGTTGGTTTTGATGTCTGTTTTTTAGGCAACCTCCAAAAGTCCTGCCCAAGTAACTAGAAAATTGGTTTCTCTGAACTCTTTACTATAATAGAACTAACCTCATTCACAAAGGAACTTCAGTTAAAAACAAAAAAATTCTTAGAATGACGAGATGATCCGGTGAGATATGCTCTGTATCCCCAGTCTCTGTCCTTGTGGGGCCTTACACACCAGTCTGATTCTTCCAGTGATAACATCTGACTTGGAGAAAGCCGGGAATTGGTTTAATGAAAAACTCATCCGCTCTCTTAAGGTCAGACCCAAGAAATCCAAATATTAAGTTTCCTGCCTGGAGGTGAGAGGAAACATGGGAAAGGAATTGATGTATGTCTGCCCTCTCAGGGTCAGGAAATCAGTCACCCAGGAGTTCTTTATTTTTTTAAATGTTTTTTTTTTTAATGTTTATTTTTGAGAGACAGTGTGAGTGGGTGAGGGGCAGAGAGAGAGGGAGACACAGAACCTGAAACAGGCTCCAGGCTCTGAACTGTCAGCACAGAGCCCAACGTGGGGCTTGAACTCACAAGCCATGAGATCATGACCTGAGCTGAAGTCAGACACTTAACTGAGCCACCCAGGTGCCCCCAGGATTTCTTTCTATGAGCTGTGCTCCATAGGGATTTGAATTGCCTTGTGGAAGAAATGACAGTACACATTTGGCTAATGAGGAGCTTTGGAAATTGAGCCCCCAGGGCCACAGAAACTGTAGAGTCTACCTGTGACCATTGCCCTCAAAGACCTGCTCAGGTCAGGAAACAGCACACCTGGGTCTCCTTCTGAGATGCTCCCTCGTGCCCAGGAGCCCAATTGACTTGGCCCACCTGCCCTTCCTGGGGACAGATTTCCCATCTCCTTCAGTATCTAGAGGAAGGGTGAATTACCCATTGATGACTTCAAGGTAATCTGATGTGTTCTAATAAATTCTGTGCGAAATCGAACAGTTATTTAAAATCAGTCTATCTGGAGGACATCTGAGAAGTCAGAGAAGGATTAAGGATTAAGTAAGATTAGGTTACATTGAATTTGCAATTAGCTTTCATTTCTGGCTCCTTCTTTGCCTTTTAAATTCCAGGGACTCTGTCTTTTACCACCTGAGCATGAATTCGCCCCTTCAAAAATTGGACAGATGACTCTACAATTCTCTGGTTTCCATCATTTTTTCTCTTTCTTTCTTTCTTTCTTTCTTTCTTTCTTCTTTCTCTTTTTTTTTGGCTGTAAGACTGGGATGGGTGAGTTTGGCTTCTCAATTTTCCCATATCTGGTTTCAGATTTTATCCTTAGAGGAGAACTCAAGTCTTGTCCCTACCTCTTAACTGTGAGGACCTTGGGAGAGGAGGTTGAGACACATTAGTCTACCTTTCCAGTCTTTGAAAATCCCTGCAAAACATATGGAATATTTTAAATCTTCAGAACAGCACAGTGAGCATTAATATAAACAGCCATACAATGACTGGCGATATAATATACTATTATATTACCATATAATAGTAAAGTATTATACATACACATGAGGTCCTATTATTATATTTTAAACTGAGTTTTAGATCCAAGTCCCACACAGAAAGACCTTTCTTTGCCCTCAGACAGGGATAACTGTATCATTATGGACAAATCCTCCCTATTATTTATTTCCCTCCTCCCGTCCCAGAGGTTGCCACTAGGGAATTTGGTGGATATTTGCTATGCGTAGTTTAACACTATCAGTACGTGTGAACGTGTCTCATTAATCTCTACTATAGGAAAAAACTGTAATAAACCCAAATGCCCATTGATGTGAGAATGTATGTTAAATTTGATAAACGAAATCTGCTTGTGTCAGTTTTGATAAATATAGAAAAGACCATGATTAAGCCAAAATAGTTGCTAAATTGAATAGTTGATACTATGTCTAGCAGATAGGAGCATGTAATACATAGAGTAACATAAGCATACGATGCTTGTGGATACATCATTACTCATATGAGATATTCCAGGGGAATGATACAGGCAAGACTTCAGGATCCTGTTTAACTGTGGGGAAGGGAGGTCAGTATTGAGATTGTGTAGGAATATGCGGGGGCTTCACGGAGATCTGCATTGTTTTATTAATAAAGAACACTGGGGGTGCCTTTGCGGCTCAATTAAGCATCTGACTCTTGATTTCTGATCAGGTCATGATCTCATGGTTCGTGGGATCCGTGCTAACAGTGTGGAGCCTGCTTGGGATTCTCTCTTCTCTCTCTGCCCCTCCCCTGCTCATGCACATGCTCTCTCTCCCTCTCAAAATAAATGAACTTTAAAACTTAAAGCAAAAAGAAAACTACAGCAGGTGTGGCACAATTTTGAATTTGATCATGCTGGCTGGTGGGCTTGAGCCCTTCATTGTCACTTTGTCCTTATTTGGATACTTAAATAGAACATAAAACATGAAAAACTGGTTTATTTATATTTATATAAATTTCATCCTGCTATAGCTATCATATAGACTATTCTCCTTTAATGATTTAAAACCATTTTTAAAAATTTAAATTTAAGTTAGCTAACATACAGTGTAGTCTTGGTTTTAGGAGTAGAATCCATGGATTCATCCCCTACATAGAACACCCAGTGCTCATCCCCAAAAGTGCCCTCCTTAATGCCCATCACCCATTTCACACATCCCCCCCCCTGCCCCTTCAGCAACCCTCAAGTTTGTTCTCTGTATATGAGAGTCTCTTAGGGTTTGCCTCCCTCTTTATCTTATTTTTCTTCCCTTCTTCTATGTTCATCTGTGTTGTGTTTCTTAAATTCCACATGAGTGAAATATATTTTATTTTTTAAAATACTTATTTTGAGAGAACAAGCATGTATGTCTGTGCAAGCTGCAGAGGGGCAGAGAGAGAGAGAGAGAGAGAGAGAGAGAAACCCAAGCAGGCTGTCACCATGACCCTGGGATTGTGACCTGAGTTGAAATCGAGAGTTGGACACTCAACCGACTGAGCCACCCAGGTGCCCTCCTTTAATAAATTTTTATTTAATTTTATACAGCTAGCACTAATGTAAATATTTTGATTTTGCATATTTAAAATAATGAACATTTAAAAAATTAAGGATGATAT